AACAATCGACCCCTACTTTGTCACCACTGTGGACTCAGAGTCTGATGAGATTGAGGAAGATGCTGTGTCATCATACTTGGCATCTACTGTGCCTGATGTGTCACCACAGAGATCCGATGCTTGTCTTCCGTGGGAGGGATGCCGCAAATTGGATTCCCAAAAATGAGCCCTACAAACAGCAAAAAAAAGTCAAAAAGGACCCCCCCCCGGGGGGGGGTTCCTTTTTGAAGCTTTTTTGCCTTCCAGATATTTGAAGCCATTCTCTTTGGGAGAGGCATGCAGCATTGGAACAAGTTGCTTTTCTCTCCTTCTCTCTCGCTATGGCCCCCAGATCTCTCTCATATATATATATATATGTTTGTCTATATACAAACCCATATACATGACATAATATAAATATGCATATGCACATGTCAGGTCATTTATTTTCTATGAGCGCTGAACGCATATGTAGCTTTATATATGCATGTAAAAGTGTGTGATGATATTGTGATTGTGTGTAATGTTGATACGTATCAGCATTGATGTTTCCAATGGTATATGTATATGTTAACAAATACATATACATATATACATCAACTGTATACATGTTTCAAGAAGTAGTGTGAACATAAATACTTGATTGTTTATCTATAGATACTTGACAGTTTATCTATATATGATCGATATTAACACACACACATATATATATATTGCACATTTAATTTTATTTACACATATAAACATACATGTATATAGATTCCTGGAAATGCACCCTCAAAAGTGTAGATTTAACCCTCCATCCAAGGAAATGCCTGCGGTATCTCCTTGCCCTGAACAGCATGAGGCGCGGCTGGGGTTCATCTTCTCTTGTTTCATTTATAATTGTTGCACTTGTGTATGTATATATATATATATGTCGTTCGATAGATAGACAGATAGATATAGATATGGATAGATGGAAAGAACCACAGGTTTTTACTCATAGCAATGTTGTATATATCCACCTTCCTTCTTCGAGGTTGCCATTCCAAAAGTTTTGATCCCGTCAGTGGAAAGTTACAAAGAATGGAAAACCCCTTTTGAAAGTCAGTTTTCCACACATCTTCTTTCCCAAGCTGTCCTTGGCTGCGGCTTCTGGCGCAGGCTTCTCCGAGGCACTCACGGAAGTTGCCCCGGTCACCTTCGGCGCAATCTGGGCTGTCTGGGAATGGGAGTGTGTCACCGTCCCCTCCGAGAACCCGCAAGGCTAACCCATGGGCAAAAAGTGACAAACCTTATCTATTTGTTTGTTTTTATTTGCATGACTTGGTTTGGGCTCAGCGCTACACCAACAAGCTTTACAAAGTACCATGCCGCAACAATTCCTTTTTGTTTTTTCCCCACCTGCCAGGTGAGGGTTGTTAGATTTTATCAGAGCTGTTCTCCTCCTCCTCCTCCGCCTCCTCTGCCTCCTCCGCCTCCTCCTCCGCCACCTCCTCCTCGCAGTCCAGATCCCAGTGGGCACAGCCGGACCTCAACCGCGAGTTGCAGATCGCAGTGGGCACTGCCGGACTTCAACCGCGACTTCCAGGTCGCAGTGGGCACTGCCGGACCTCAACCGCGAGCTCCATGCAGATCCCAGTGGGCACTGCCGGACCTCAACCGCGAGCTCCAGATCCCAGTGGGCACTGCCGGACCTCAACCTGTCAGATAGAATGCCAGAAGATATGCCAGATAGAATGCCAGAAGATTTGCCAGATAGAATGCCAGAAGATATGCCAGAAGATATGCCAGATAGAATGCCAGATAGAATGCCAGAAGATATGTCAGATACAAAGCCAGAAGATTTGCCAGATAGAATGCCAGAAGATATGCCAGAAGATACGCCAGAACGTATGCCAGAAGATATGCCAGATAGAATGCCAGATAGAATGCCAGATAGAACGCCAGAAGATATGTCAGATAGAATGCCAGAAGATTTGCCAGTAAGAAAATGTATAAACGTCATGGTGGGGATCACACGAAGTAAAGTAATTTAAGATATGGGAGCTCTTGGAAATATAAACTATCGTTTAGTTTGGACCACAAAAACTCATGTGGTTATTTTTACAAACCCATACAGGCAAAGAAGGTGATCCAGCCTTTGGTGGGAGATCGGAAGGCTGAACAAGCCATCCGTCGATTGTGTCACAGAAATCCACGTACTGGGAAAAGAAAGGTGTCATCATCTGTTGCCAAACAGTTCATGCGTGGTGGAAAGTCACGGGCTGACCTGATTGCCCTGTTCATCAAGAATGGTGGAAACAAAGAGACTCAGTTCCAAACTTCGGTATAATGACTCTTTGGGTTTCTTTCCGCAGTGCTATGTTTATATACCCCATGCATCTGTTGAGATATATCAAGTTTGATGGGTTGCAGGGTCGGGGCCCCAAAACTTAAAAAATTGCCCCCCCAACAGCTACAACCTTCTAAGGAAAAGTTTCGTCGTCAGGCTGAGCACAGCATCACGAACAGCAAAACGGGAAAGGTCACTGTCCGCATAGGGTACTTCACCGAGGAAGACATGAAGACAACTCTTTCATACTCAGAGTACCTTACTTTGATTCATACTTTGTGTTCTGAACATGGTTGTAATATTGAAAAAAGTCAATTATCTTTAGATTTGGGGCTTAGATGGGCGGCTCCAACGAGGCAACGTATCAAGGCAGTCAAAGCCTATTACCGCAAGATGCACAAGAATCACCCGGATCGCAAGTTCATCAGGACATTAGACTTGAGCACAACAAAAAAATTCGACACCTGCTTACCTGCATGTACAGGAGTTATTCAAGGTTCTATTTCTTTCTTGGCTGTCTTTGCGGCCCTTCTTACTCCCAAATGTCTCCCGTGCTAGGAGAGACAAGTACCAGCCGGACATCCGAAAGTACTGGGTTGAAAACTCCTATGAGAAGGCTGTCAAAAAGGACAGCACCAGGAAATTGAAAGCTGACATGAATGATGACAGTTTTTCGGACAGCGATGACTTCAAGATTGACGCGGAGAGTGATCAGTCCGGATCAGACTCGGAGGGGGGAAAGGGAAAAAGTCACGTTCCAAACGTGGCCGGGATATGGACTCAGATGACAGTGAGTGTTCTGAGCAGTCTCCCAAGCCTGCCAAGAAAAGGAAGGGCCCCAAGAGGAAAAACCGACGAACCAGCTGTGATGACAACTTGAGCGTCAGCGAAGAAGAGCCCTTGGAGGAGCCCTATATCCACAAACATGCCCCTTATCAAACTCTTTCCAGTCACGTTCCTATATTAATATTGGCCTAAGAATAGACCAAACAACCCTATATATATATGATATATATATATATAATATCATACATATCTTATACCAGTAGTACCCGCACGAGGCGGGGCGGAAGTTGCCTTAAAGATATATATGAGACCTTTCTCATCTATAGAACTTGCATGCGCCGTGCGCCAGCCAAGCCCGTGCGTGCGTGCACTCTGCGAAACTGGTGTCGTGTTGCACATGTCACATTTGAAGCTCCACGTCACACTTCACACTTGACAGTCTTCACACTTCACACTGCACCCTTCGCAATCAACACTTCACACTTCTCACTTCACACTGCACTCTCCCCAATCCACACTTCACACTCCACACTTCACACTTCACAGTCCACACTTCACACTTCTCACTTCTCATTGCTTTCTTCACACTCCACACTTCACACTTCACACTGCACTCTTCACGCCCCACACTTCACACTGCACTCTTCACACTCCACACTTCATCTCATCTGAGCTCTTCTCGGCGCTTCTGCACGTCAGCAAGGTTGAGCGTAACTCATGTTGGTTCTTCTACATGCCAAAAGGCGTAGACCAGAAAATATTTACAATATTGAGGTCATTAATGCCAAGCGTTGATGCATTGCATCAAATCGCAACGGCAAGTGTGAACATGGTGTAGTTGTTACCTGTCAAGGAGATTCACGCAGTCCAAGCTCGACAGCTGCTTTTTTCTCTGCGCTACACTTGGTCGTCTAGGCTTTTGGCAGCTTTTCGGCCCGCACTGGCACGAAAGGCTGGAGAGCTTATCACGTTGGAAGCCTGGTTGTCCGTCATGGCACTTCACGAAGCAAATCAGGCAAGAAGTTCTCACTATCCGCAATGACATTGCGGACCCAAGCTGCATCTGCTTTACTGATCGGCCAGTTGAAGTTCGGCATCTCCTTTCATGGCGTGCACTGCAAACAACCCAGACATGCATTTCTTATCTAAAAACCTACGATAGAACCATTTCCCCTTCAAAACCCCATATCTACCTTAAAACCCCCAAGCCTCAACCATTTTTGAAGAAAGCATATCCTATCAAACAGCTTTACAACACGTTTAAGCCAAAATTCTGGTCAAACCCTGCTCCAACAACAAACTCATGGCAGTCAATGCTGCTTCATCTCTTTTTCATCTCATTCGGACTGTGCACAGGAGTTCGCACCAATCAGCCTCTCCACCTGGCAGAATCAAAATTGAAAGCTGGCATGTGGCACATATGCATGGTGAACATGAAAGCACATTGTACTTTGACAACAAGGTTTTTAAGAGCACATTGAATCTGCAATACCAAAACAGTGGTGAAGCAACCTGCGCTTGCTGCAACAAATACTTGAGTCCTGCGAAAGGAACCGTGGATTTCGGGTAGAATAATGTGACTGAAATGCACATTTGCACAAACCATTGTCCTGCTGAATATCTTTGCAACGTCGACAATGGTGTAGTTCTGGCATGTGTCTTCTTGGCAAGGTTTGCCACACCACGTATCCAATCCTCTTCCATCCAGCAGGATTGGCTTACCGGGTTCCGTCTCGACTCAGCAAATTCCAATATATGGGCCATTGCATGAAACTTCGGACGTATGTTGAAAAGACGGTATGTGGGCCATCCACTAAATTTTCGATTGACCAACAAAAGCTGATTCAAGTGGTACTCTCCAAGCACCAGCACTTGGCGAACATCACGCTCAGACAACAGAAGGCCATCTTTTCGCCGGTCATGAAGAAAGGACATGAGTGTGTCTCCACTCCAAACAAGCATTTTCAAATCTGAGTCCACAACCTTGTTTGCAAGAAAAGCTTGGAGAAATCCAAGGAGTATGGATACATGAAATCCTTTGCCAATGTAGTGCACATACTTGCCGCTTTTCAAGGAGAGCTTCGCGCCGAGGAAGCTGAAGTGTGGAATTGGCCCTGCACCATGCCTTGACCTCTGCTGTTGCCGTCTGCATTCGGGCCTTTACCTGAGCGAATGCAGGAATGCTGCAAATTCAAAAGCCTATCGCGCCCTTACCACCCAAAAAAATGATCTATCTTACAATAGATTTAGTATATGCATAATGTTTACAATATAGATATATATTTATATTTATTTATATTATATACATACCTGTATATAGATATACATGCCTGCACATGTACCTATATTGACATGTATCAATGCTTGCCAGCAAGGTGCGTTGGGGCCAGGAAAGAACCCTCTTTTCAACAGAATGACGAATAGGCTTGCAACAATATCTCGACCTATGCCTAGATGGTACGTGTGCAGGATATCCGGGCACATCAATTTGGTGCTGAAGCATTCAAGTTCTTTTAGAGCTGGCACGCTGTGCCAGATATCTTCCTCTTCCAACTGTGACGCTCGCCAGAGAGCATCAGGGGAGAGATCAGTCATGGGGGCTGTCAAATCTTTCGTGGCACCACATTTGAAGCATATATGGTTCGAACTTGGGCCATTCTTCGCAGTCAGTGCCTGGCACATGAATTTCCAATCTCCTTTCACAGAGGCCACTGCCAATTTGACCCCGGCAACACCACAAGTGTACAGAGTATTGAGCGATCGAACCAAAATTGATAAACACTGCTGGAGCGTGACATTCTCCTTGCCATTGAAGAAGTATGCTGAGGTGGGAATCATGACGCATAAAAACTTCGACAGTTTGGCATTGGTGTGGTGGATCGAAACTTCCGAAGACCAATTGATGCACATGTATTGGTTTCCATCAAAGACCTCCACCTCATCACCGAATAAGCTGACAGGTATGCAGTCTGACACATCATCAGGCCGATGGACACTGAACTCGCGGGACAGGATTTCCCAGTACTCATTCGTGGCCGTGCCCAAAATCGCACGATGCCCCATTTGTACGAGGCATTTGACCTAGGAAATTTGCAGAAGGAAATTGAAAAAAACATCCACATGCCAAGCAGCAATGGAAAATACAGTATATAAGGGCCCTACCATGGACTCTGGTAGGATCATTGGCCAAGCTTGCAGCTCCATCCCCCCATCCTCTAAGGCCACCGGAAGATGATGGTAAGAAATCAGATCTTTGAAAGCCAGATCTGCCCGTAGCAATTTGCCATGAGCTCTCGCATCTCTCACTGTTCCACGCCTGAGTGCCATGCACATGTACTTGTATTACACACACACATATAATATAAATATATATATATATATGAGGCAGAAAGAAAGAAAAGAAAGAAAGAAAGAAAGAGAAAAAGAAAGGGAAAAAAAGACAGAAAAAAAGAAAGAAAGAAAAAAGAAAGAGAGAGAGAGAGAGATATCAGAAAATAGATCAGGTAGATCGATAGATCGATCGATCAATGAGCCTATAAACTTGCTGTCAATGCATTCACCAATTGGCTGAGCTGAGGTACTGGAAGACATCCGAAGAATAGGATGCCCCAATGCGACTGGCAGAAGCAAGGGAGGCTCTCCCCAAACCGATCTCTGCAGCCAACCTTCAAGCAAGAACATGCACAGCTGCATTGCAGAAAAAAAATCAGCCAGGAAACCCTAGATGTTGTGAGGCCAGCACTGTTCATCTAAAGATCTTCTGATCTCATGGAGGTTAGTACCTCCACTGCAGCCCATATTCAGTGAAACGATATTTCTATGGTGATGCATGCAAGAAAGATCGACATTAAGTCATTGCAGTGCTGACGAAACAGGTTCACATTCTTTTCAGACCAACCCCAGCGCTGCTCAAGACATCTCAATCTGCCTATGTTACAGGCAAAGCTCAAAAGATCAAAACCCCAATGCCCAACATGGGCATCTTTAAGATTTATCCAGCACATCTAGCGCTGAACCACAAATGATCGAAAAAAATCGATCATCTCACACCGCTTTGTAGCCCCTGGCGAGGGTGAAATTGTGGCAAATCGAGACCCATAAAAAATCTAAACAAGGCAAGGTGGCTTTTTGAACTCCTTCAGCACGGCTCCAAGCTCTGCACGTGTCATGCGCGACTCTGCCACCTCAGTCAGGCACAAGCCAGCATAAAACCAAAGTCAAGTCAAATGGGAAACTTCAGAATTCACACAGAGAAGTGAGGCCCTGGCAGCCTCACCCAACTTCACACGAATGTTGCTGAACGCGGCCTCATCTTCAATCCCCTGCAGCCTGGACATGCGTCACTCAATTTCAAAAACAAGTTGACTTAAGAGTTGCATGAGGGGCTCAGCAACAGCCAAAAAAAAAATGCGCACCACACCTCGAAAAGAAGATCGTGAGGCGCTGGACATTCTTCTCAATCCTGCTCAGGCCATCCTTAAAGCGGGCATTGCCATCTGGCATGTCCAACTTCAGTGATCCCAGCTGCGAGAGTTCCTTCTTCGCCTCCTGGCCTCATGCAGTCATGTCGTACGTACAAGTGTGTTGCTTATGTCCAACACAAGATCAAATCTATTTTAAGGGCCAGACGTGCAAGAGCCACCTTTTCCGTCACTGTTTTGCCAGCAAGAGCAATGTCTGACAAGGGTGGCCCCTTAGGCTGCGGAACGGACTTCGCTTTGGCCTTTGCCTTGGGGCCTTGGATTGCAAGGACTCATGGAAGGCACGCCCCACAGCAAGAAGAATAAATCAAGATCACAGTAATCAAGAAACCCAAGAAACGCATGTTGCCATTGCCCACAGGCGCTGCTTGATCACTCGCAGGCGTTGCAGGAGCAGCAGTCGAAGCTGCCATCTGCTGGCGCACCAGAGCCAGTGGGTCAGCAACTGACACTTGCGTGCCAACATGGTTGCCCGGAACCAGGAAAGCACCCATGGCATCACTGGCACGAATGCTGCCACCAACTTCCACAGACATGGTACTGTCATCCGTGGTCGTTTCTTCAGTGACGACACTGGCCCAGCACTTGGTGCTATTTTGGCAATTGGGGGCATCGCGATCTGCGATCCCACCACGCGCCACACATCCGGCAATCTTCTGCCTGTCTCAGCGCAATGAAGCGGGATCAGGGAGCCACACCCTGTAACTGAAGTTAATCCATGACATGCTTCCATCAGCGCAAGATAAAACATAAATTTATGTGCATGTGATACAGCCAAGGCACTCAGAAAACCCTGCTTGCTGCATTTCAGAGATTGTCATCAAACGACGGGTCGTCCTCATGGTTTCACTGTGGGTTCGGCTCGCACGAAAGGCACTCTCCACAGCCTGCAAATTTTCACCATTCTGCACGTAGGTTTTCAAAACCTTGAGGCGCTCAGCTTTGGTGCCTGACCCAAAGAGCTTGGTGATTTCAGGAAAGGCACCAGCTCTCGGTCCCTGCACCACACGCTGCAAAGCCATGAGCTGCTTGCGGTGGGTGGTGGAAGTCACTGGCCCCACGGGCTCTGTAGGGACGGCGACAGCTTCAGCAGCCACCGGAGCTGGGGCAGGCGGCACCGCAACCTCCGGAACCAAAGGAGGGGGCTTGCCATTGGCAACTTCTTCCGCTTGCTTGGCCATCTCAGCATCATGACGGGCAGTTGCCTGCTGTACGGCTTCTGCTTCACATTCTGCTTCTGCATCTGCATCATGAGCCAAATCTTCATCTGGCAACTCCTCACCAGTCTCCCCAAAGCGAAGCGTCGGAGCATGGCGAAGCCCATCCCAGCTGTCAGGCTCAGGCAAGCGGTCGTCGAAGACCTCCTTGGGCTCCTGCTCAAGTACAAAACTGGGAAACTTTTGTTTCTTTCTATTGATGTTTGTTAAATCCATGCATGACCCATGCATGAAATTTACATGCATGCATAACATGAAAATGGTCATTATATATTAATATAATATACATATATATATATTAGTTACATGTTAAGTAGATAGTTATATTGTACCTAAATGTTCCATGCATGGCAATGACATGAGAACAAAAAAACCAACCATGCATGCGTGAATGGCATCGAACAAAAAAACAAACCTACTAACAACCATGCATGCATGCATGAACAACATTGAAACCCACATGAACTAACAACCATACATGCATGCATGAATGGCATGGAAAACACATGAACCATAACCATGCAAACATGAAAAGCACATGAACCACAACAACCGTGCATGCATGCATGAACTGCATGAAAGACATGAATGGCATGCATGCATGTAAAAAACACATGAACAACATGAACACCATGGATGGCATGCATGATGGTATGAATGCCTTCTTTCTAGTCATGAATGCATGGTCATGCATGCATGCATGCATGCATGCATGTATGTATGATCCATGCATGTCATTTTGAAGAGCAAACATGTCCTCATCAGTGTTCACGATCTGGACACCAGAGCCTCCACGAAGCATCGCCTGTCCACGTAACAAAGTCGAGGTGGACCTTGGGAAAAACAAGTTGCTCTTAAATCTATGGGCTAAAACTCCACAAACAAAACACCACAATTCCACAAGATAAAGCTGGGAATGGTACTTCGCCCTCCTCAGCTTAGACGAAGTCAAAGAAGGTGAGTAGGGAGGAGTCCCTGCACCGTCAGACTCATCGCACTGGGTCTCTCCAACTTCATCTTGGGCTGCGTTCCCAGCAGCACCATAGGCCAACTCTTCATCTGAATCTGCTTCCTCAAATGCCCCAGGAGGAACAGCAGAAAGAGCAGCCTCCTTGTCAACTGCCTGACTGGGAGGAGAGTCCTTTGCTGAAGATGCAGTGGACTCAGTTTTCTGAGGTTGCTTCTCTCGTTTCTCCTTCTTGGCCTTCTTCGGCTTCGGCTCAGGGCAAGTTGATTCACCCTGCAGCTCATCGAGGATCAGCTGGGCTTCCTTGACAGAAAGCAGGGTGGCAGCTGCCATCTGCTTCGCAGTAGGTGCTTGGCCCCCATTCTTTCTATAGAGCTCATCCAGCACTTCTTGCAAAACAGCAAACGATGGATCAGCCATAGCGCTTCACCAGCTATGCTGCTACAGTTCCCAGGGCTATACCGTTTGGAAAACCTGCAAAGCAGAAATTGCCACACCAGGCCTTTGCACAACTGACATGCCAAAAACAGCAAAACAAATGCTAACAAAAATGTTGGAAAATGACCTGTGAAAATTCACGGGGTTTTCTCGGGTTTGCTGGGGTTTTCACGCAGAATTCTCGGAAAATTCACGGGCAATTTTTCGAACAAGGTGGGTGGCATCTAGTCGAGCCATCACATGGCAGCAAGTCACTCATGCTCTACAAAGGTCATTTGCCTCAAGATCTTCACATCATGGTATGCTCGGTCAAGAAGTGCCGACCATCGATCTAATGGCCGGAAAGAAGGTTGTTCACGAAGGTACGTGATGACTTCGAACAATTTGGCCTCACCACTGCCAAATTGCCACAACAGTCGGTCACCTCACCGGTTGCTATGAAAACAAAAGGCCCAGGCATCTTCCCACAAATCTATGTCTTCTTCGTTCTTCCAATCGATGTCCTCCCAAAAGATTGTTTCAAACATGCAGTGCCCAAAAAACAAATCCCTCCTGAAAAAGTTCAAGGTCGCTCTTTTTGAAGAGCTCTGCTTTGCGTTCTTGAAAGGGGCTTTCCGGAAGCGCCTCTGCGGCACAAATTCATGCAGCCAGAAAAATACACTGCTGAAGCCCAGGGCCTCCCAGTGGTGGTCCGCCATTTCCTTCTTCAATTCTGCAAAGTGAGCTCCAAAGCGCTCATGGTATTGCCTGGGCGCCAAAACTTTCTCCAAACAAAACGATCATTCAAATCATTGTTAGCAAAAATGGTTGTTGAGAAAAAATGTTTGGGAGTTTCATGTTTCAAAATGGTTTTGGTTGAACAGGAACTGCTGCCTGGATACTGCGAAGCTTGGAGGGCATCCTTTCGCCCAGACCAGCTCCAGGTCCCATCTTCTTTTCTCACTCTTTTGACTAGATCACCTGTTAACTCCTGCATTCTTCCTTTGCTCATGTACCCAGCTGCCACTGCTAAACGCTGAAGCAACATGCGGTCATTTCCATACAGCCAATGCCGCTTTGGAGTGCAATTGTTGTCGTTGGCATAGTTTGCTCCCCAGATTGCTGTCCGGAAAATGTTATATTTGTTGAACAATTGTTGCAGACGGGGATGGATCTCTGCAGCTGAACCACCCGGCTGTTCCAGAACAAACCGACAGAGTAAGGCTAAGCTCAAATAGGCCAGCAAGGCCACTCTTGACGCCAGAAGATTTCCCAGCGAAACAAAGGAATATCCTTCATTTCCACACGGAAAAAGGATGCTTCTCTGGTGCGTTCCTGCGCTCCTCAGGCACATTCAAAAACAATATAGACATCAACATGTTCAATATATATATATATATGCATCTTGAATTTTTAAATTTCAGCCAGGTCAATTGATTCAAGATTCGGAACGCAAAAGGAGTTGCAGCACAAAGCTAAGATGTGCAACGCTGCAGCTTTCGACCTTCTCATGCACTGGAGGCACAGCCTCACAAAAAAAAAACCGACAGCCAATTAAATTCCATTAAGCTGTGTTCCACATCATCAAAATTGGGGCTGCTGCGCAAAACCTGCCACTGTCGTGAAATCAAAGGTGTGGTACTCCTTGTCCTTGGTCTTGTCGAGGCTGACTCCAGAAAATCCAGCCTGCAGACAGCACGCAGAGCTATGAGTTTGACCAAGTGGGCAAGGGTGGCATCAAATATGTGTGTGGCTCACTCTTTCGCTTTCTCTCAATTTTTTCCACATACACATACATATATATATATATATATATGTGTGTGTTCTTATACATGTGCACATGTATGCATGTACAGTTCTTAATAATGTGCATGTGATTTATATATATAAGAGATAGATAGATAGAAAGAAAGAAAGATAGATAGATAGACAGATAGATAGACAGGCAGATAGATAGATAGATAGATAGATAGGTAGGTAGGTAGGTAGATAGATAGGTATATTTATATCAGTCTATATATATATATATATAAATAAAGCAGGCCCCGCCTTCCAAAGGGCAGCTGAAACTCTGCCTTCTCCACTGAAGTATTCTATGTAATCATACGCCTGGGGAAAATTGCAAGAATTCAACAGGATGAATGCTGACAGCATCAGCCTGAGCTCCTGGCAATCGAATCATCCAAGTCTCGGATGTGCACCAAATGCAGCACACAGAGGATAAGCATCTTTGGGCAGTCCCAAAGTAACATTTCTGCTACCACCATGATGCAAAACAGCCAGGCGGCACCCGTCACTGGAGCAAAAGCATCTGCAAAGGGAAAAATCAAAGTGTTGACTTTGGTTTCAAAGAGCGAAGATGCACAGCACTCACGAAAGAAGGCTTTGAAGCTTACAGTGGGCAACACGCTGTTTTTTCCCCAAAACCCCTGGTCAATCTGGACGGACATTGTGGTCATTACCACAAACAATTTGGAAAGCAAGGTTCCAGCCCTGCTCAGAGCAAAATGATCTACACAAACCTCCTGCGCTTAAGTTCCTTCTCAGGAAGTTGCGACACCAGATCAGCCCGTAAGTTTGAACTCATCCATGCCTGGTTGGCCTCAACATGTTTCATGCCCTTCTCTTTCTGCTGCTTGATGAAAGCCAAGCGCATCTTGCTGAAAGTGTTTGGGTTGTACTTCACATCTGGCTGCTGAAGCAAAGCTGCAGGATCAAGACCCTGTGGGGGGGGATGTACCAGGCTGCTCCAGTGCAGCAGGACAAGCATCTACTGGAGGCTCATCCAGTTTGAGTCCTTCTTCAACTTCAGGACCTGCAATTTCCTTTTGCTTCTTCGATCTTTTTCCACCTTTGTTCTTTGCTGAAGATTTGCCCTTTGGTTTCTTCGGCTTTGCTTGTTCTTCTACAGCAACGGTGTCATCTTCCCCAGCTGTGGTGGCAAAAGGGGCCACTGCTGGGAGTTGTCTGGACAAGGACTCCAAAACAAAGTCAGGCAAACCATCTTTCCCACGAATGGGTGTGGCCACTGGTCTTTTTTTCAGCCCCTTGCTTTCAGCCAAGAGGTCAAGTTTGTCTCCCATGCACTGTTTCAAGCGCTGCTGCAAACGAGACCAGTCAAAGCTTGAACTGGCTTTGCTTGGCGCCGGGGCTACATTATCCAGGTCTTCATGGGAAGCAGCTCGAGATGAACTTTCCGAAGCATCATTTGCTACCACATCACGGCTAATTCCTGCATCAATGCACCGCTGCTTCAACTGCTTCAAGCCAGGCGACTTTGCATTGCCAGGCGTCTCCCAAAACAACCTCCTGAATTTGGAGCCCAATTTGCGTAGGCCAGCGCCCATCTTTGCAGACCATTCTTCTAAGGCCTCCTCGGTGACCCCTGCTGGCACCAGCTTGGACGAAACATAAAAAGCCAGAATTGCCTTTGCCAGGATCTCTTCCGACAAACGGATGGAGGGCGCCACAGACATAGTGGCAAACACCACCTGCATGCAGCAAGCAAGCAAGTGAATTCCCAAAAGCTATAGAAGGTCATGGATGCAGAATCCACACAGCCAAAAAAAAACATGCCTCATGGTTTCTCTCAACGTCTTTGATTGTGGCTTCGGATCTGCTATCAAAGAGGCCCCTGGAGTGAGCTGTAATGAAATTGAAGCCCACCTCCCAAGCATCCAACATGAGCAACCTCATGTTGGATAAAATCACACACTCATTCAAAAAAAAACTGCTCTTGGAAAGTATTGATGTCAGTGAGCCCACCTCTTTCAACACAGGCTCTTTGGCAAAAGCCGCAGCATATTTTTGAACCAGGTCCGGTTCCTTCTGAAGTTGTTTCAGCAGCCGGGGCATTTGCCCAGCACCACATTAACAGGAGCCCAAAACGAGCTACCACACACCAGAGGGTGGAGAAGCCAAGCACCAGCCAACAACAAATTCCACAAAAACATGTGGCACCTATAGCCACATCGTCCCTGGGTCACTTGGCGAGCTTTGCCAGCTCCGGTGGCGACGGTAGGCCTGAGCAGGAGCAAGATTAAGTCTGGCACCAACACCTGCCCAACATGACATGCATGAATTAAAAAACTTGCGTGCATGAACCCTGGGCATGGATGCATGACATGGCATGACATGACATGACATGACATGACATGACATGTTAACAACTGACATAGCATGACATGTTAAAAAGAACCATGGATGGATGCATGCATGCATGGATAGCCATGAATGCATGTAAAACAAACAGAAACCACATGCATGACATGCTAAACAAACAAAACCCTACCATGCATGGATGCCATGAATGTCATGCATGCCTATCATGAATTCAATGCATCCATATCATGAATTCCATGCATGGATGCCATGAGTTTCATGAGTGTTCATGCCTACTGCGTCCATGCATGTCTTGACATGCTCATGCATGCATGCATGCCAGCCATGGGTTTCATGCGTGTACAGTTTCCGTTTCATGTCTGTACCGTTTTAAGAACTGAGGCCCCGACCGTAGGCATCTGCCATGACCTGAGCTGATAAACTCAAACAAAATCACGGCTGCCACCTTCCAGACAGCACAGTGGCAGCACAGAAAAAAAACAACACACTAAGGCACACAGAGCGGGACAAATTCTAGCAGTCCACCATGGGCACCTGAGAAACGAGCGAATTCCCAACAATTTTGTCTTTATAACATGTTGGATCAAGATGTTGCAAGTTGACACAAACATGGTGGACACTGCAGTGGCAATGGCGCCGCGATAGAACATTTTTGGCCGCCCTTCAACTGCAAACTGCCCAGCTGCCGTTCGATCATGCCAACACCTTGTCACATGTAAAGCATGGTGATTGCAAACAGCAAGTGGGCAAAAAAAATCAATCAACCCCTGCCTCACCACCAGAGCCAATAAGGCGGTGGAGGCTCCACAATCCAACTGCATGATGCGGGCCACAGCGTCATGCAAAACTAAAATGCAAATTGATCGAAAATCCAACCTCCATGCCACCGGTGGGGAACTCCAAGCCGGCTTAGGCGGCGGAGGCACTATGTGCACTGTGCTCCCATCAGCACGCCTCCCAGCAAGCAAACAATCAATCATGTTTTACAGCCTGCCTAAAAAAATCTCGGCGAAACACGCCAACATATTCAGCCCAGCCTAAATTGCAGTAGGTCCTTTTCGAAAGCATTCGGCTTGGGCTTGGGCGGCGTGGGCTGGCACACCTTTGCCACAGCCGGTGAGCCCACCTTGGGTGGTGGCCCTGCATGTGAGGACGAGGAAGGCATAGCTGCAACAGGGATTGCTTTGCTCTTCCTATTCTTCGCTGCAGCGAGCCAGTGTTCCTACCGCAGGGCTGAGCTAAGTCAAAATCCAAAGAATGAAATCTTTCAACAAATCCAACCAGCCTTCTTCACCGGGTCTTTGGGACACTGCAAAGTTTCCAAGTACTCCTTGGTGCCTTTCAGGAGTGGATGTGCAGGTTTGCACTTGGGAGTTTGCTTCATCAGTGGCAGTGGCTTCTCCAGATGCACAGCATCATCAGGGTTCAGCTCTCTTGGCGGCGGGTGGCTTAACCTTTTGGATTTGGCGTCTTTCGAAGCAGCCTCGCAGACAAACAAAGCCGCAACAAGGAAAAGGGAAATATATAATGTGTTTTAAATATCAAATGGGGGAGGTCAAACAAATACAAAAATATATAATATGCACGCATATGCACGTGAAAAACTGTTGGTAAGCCGCCAGCAAGTAAATCTCTCGGCACGGTCTTGTCCTTCCAAAACATGCATGCCAAAAAAAATCACATAGGCATTCAGCATCAAAAGGCCACTCCTTGTCAATTGCCTTCTTCACATTCAAATTTTTCGGGATCACCATATTCTGCTGGTGACCATTGAGCCAAAAGAAACTTCCGAACCCAAAACCATCTTCCACACAGAAAATGCCTTCGCTGTCATGCACATGTTCAGCACAAAATGGCATCTCTATTAAGAAACAACATGTTTCAACACAGCATGTCCAAAAATATTCACACCTACTTTGTCCATGATGTACTTTCAAGCACCAACAAATCGAGGCCCTGGCCATCTGGTTTTCCTTCAAATCAAAACATTTTTCACCCCTCTATGTGGAGCCTCCTGAGCCCTCTTTATGTGAGCCAAAAAAAGGTGAGCGCACAAAATCAGGCACAAGTACTGCACCCAGCCAGACCAACGAAAAAAAACAAGGTAACCGTTAGAATTTCAATGAAACTAGTGGGGATTTAGAGAGGATAGAAGGGTTTTAGATAAGAAATGATCATTTCCACTCTAACACCCCAAATCTGCTATCTGAGGTTTTTTGGTACGAAACGCATGTCTGGGAAGGATTCAACACTTGCTGCGCCAAAGGATTGCAATTCTACTTTTCTGCGATCCAGGATCTGCATGAACGCGTCTACCGAATCAACTGCTGGAACACACAACAATGTTTCCCATTCCTGCAACTTAGCCTTCATATCTTCATCAAGGTTTTCATACCTCCGTCGCCAAAAATTTCGGCCAAAAACATATTCTGGCTTACCTGTACGCTCAGCTGCACACATGAGTTGAAGCAGCGTAGACTTCTGCATCCCTTGCAACTCTTCTCTGTTATCTGTTGACGAAACGATCGAACTCGGGCTGCGCAGCTGCATGCTTCACACATACCCGCCGTTCCAAATCCTTCCACTTGTCCTTTTCTTCTTCATTCAAACTCTCATATGTGTAGTTCTTCACAAAACGATAACAAATGCCTCCCCAAGTTCTGCTCTGTGAAACAGTCCAACTCATGCAGACATCCCGCAATGTACCTTTTCCCAAAGCCTTCATCTCCTCTAAGTGCGCTTCTGCAGCAGCACAAAACTTCCGAAAGGCTGCTCGCACATCTGACACGCAGTTTTGTTTTTCCCATTCTTGTATCACCTGAGTCTGTTCGGCCGAAAAGGTTTTCTCAAGAGCAAGATACATCTTGTAATACTTCCAACATTTTCCGGTGCTTAGACAAGCTTTCAACGTCTTACATTCCAGCACCTTCAAAGTCGCCGCTTCCTTTTCGATGTATGACCACAGATCAGCAAAGGTCCCCGATTGCGCCATGGCTCCACCGCGTCTTAGGAAACGGGCCGCACTGCCACGTCTCCTTGCACACTGCGACGTCCGATATTATGAACATGGCTGTCTCATCATGCATGCCTTTCTCATCCACTAACCACTCCAAAACATGAGAAAATCTTCGTGTCTAACCATGAGACCTGAAGACATGACACCTCTGACAAATGCACGTTCCCAAGTCTTTCTTGCTACACATGTTTGCCTCCTGGAAAATGAAAACATCTGCGGCCACAACACATCGCCACCGTGGTTTCTAATCAAGAGTTCTATAACTTGTTCCTGGACATCAATGTCACAACCTTTACCTACATCAATATCGCACACAAAACTCGAAATAGCAACCTACATCCACGAACTAGCTGACAAACTACTTCCCAGTACAGACTACTTGGTACTACACAGCTTGCACCCAATACTACTTTGCACTACAAAGCTGGCAAAAATTACTTCCCAGTACTACTTTGTACCACAAAACTTGCACAGAGTACTCCCCAGTACTACTTTGTACTACAAAGCTTGCACAAAGTCTTTCCCAATATACTACAATTTGCAGCTCCAAAACTGGATCTCGACGCCAAAGCGAAAAAAACACGATTTTGAAACACTTTTTAAAAGCAATTTTAAAAGGAAAATTATTAACGCCAAAATTGAACAAATCTGCTGACAAATCACTTTCGCAGCCTTGATGCAGCCATTCCAATACGATGCGATCTTCAGCTGCAAAAGACGAAAGTATTACGCATGCAGCCGCTGCACCAAGCAACCTTGACGCAGCCACTACAATGCGATCTGCAGAGACTGAGTTGCAAAACACAAGAAAACTACGTGCAATGGCCTCGGAAATTGCAGCTCCAAAACCGGATCTCGACGCCCAAGCGAAAAAAATACGATTTTGAAGCACTTTTCAAAACAAATTTTAAAAGGAAAATTATTAGCGCCAAAATTGAGACAATCTCCTGACAAATGACTATCGCAGCCTGGATGCAGCCACTCCAATACAGATTCCAAAACACCCTATAACTACGCACACACAAGCACACCCAAAGCAGCTTGAAGCCACCGTGACACTGCGGCAAAAAAAAAAACGATAAACCGACCGCAGCCGCAACCGTCGCACACACGAGGTACCTTTCATCGTCGCCTGCAGCCACTTTACACGGAAAAACACAAGGTTTCGTGCTCCGGCTTCCTCCCCAAAACATAGCCCATGCAACATCATGCAGCCATTCCAATGCGATCTGCAACCGGAGATTCCAAAACACACTATAACTACGCACACACAAGCACACCCAAAGCAGCTTCAAGCCACCGTTACACTGCGGCAAAAAAAAAACGACCAACCGACCCCAGCCGCACCCGTCGCACACACGAGGTACCTTTCATCGCCGGCTGCAGCCACTTTACACGGAAAAACGCAAGGTTTCGTGCTCCGGCTTCCTCCCCAAAACATAGCCCATGCAACATCATGCAGCCATTCCAATGGGATCTGCAACCACAGATTCCAAAACCCCCTATAACTACGCACACACAACCACACCCAAAGCAGCTTGAAGCCACCGTGACACTGCGGCAAAAAAAAACGATAAACCGACCGCAGCCGCAACCGTCGCACACACGAGGTACCTTTCATCGTCGGCTGCAGCCACTTTACACGGAAAAACACAAGGTTTCGTGCTCCGGCTTCCTCCCCAAAACATAGCCCATGCAAGATCATGCAGCCATTCCAATGCGATCTGCAAGCAGAGATTCCAAAACGCCCTATAACTACGCACACACAAGCACACCCAAAGCAGCTTCAAGCCACCGTGACACTGCGGCAAAAAAAAACGATAAACCGACCGCAGCCGCAACCGTCGCACACACGAGGTACCTTTCATCGCCGGCTGCAGCCACTTTACACGGAAAAACACAAGGTTTCGTGCTCCGGCTTCCTCCCCAAAACATAGCCCATGCAACATCATGCAGCCATTCCAATGGGATCTGCAACCACAGATTCCAAAACACCCTATAACTACGCACACACAAGCACACCCAAAGCAGCTTGAAGCCACCGTTACACTGCGGCAACAAAAAAAACGATAAACCGACCGCAGCCGCACCCGTCGCACACACGAGGTACCTTTCATCGCCGGCTGCAGCCACTTTACACGGAAAAACACAAGGTTTCGTGCTCCGGCTTCCTCCCCAAAACATAGCCCATGCAACATTCATGCAGCCATTCCAATGCGATCTGCAACCACAGCTTCAAGAACCGCATAGAACTACGCACACCGGAACAACCACTCGTTGCTAAACACATAGGAGGAACAATTCGCGCATGAAACGACCCCAGCCGCACCCGTCGCACACACGAGGTACCTTTCATCGTCGCCTGCAGCCACTTTACACGGAAAAACACAAGGTTTCGTGCTCCGGCTTCCTCCCCAACTCACCACTTCCCTTCCTCCCCACTTCCCATCGTCACCACTTCCCATCGTCACCACCTCCCTTCGTCACCGCTTCCCTTCCTCACTACTTCCCTTCCTCACCACTTCCCATCGTCACCACTTCCCTTCGTCACCACTTCCCTTCGTCACCACTTCCCTTCGTCACCACTTCCCTTCTTCACCACTTCCCTTCCTCACCACTTCCCTTCGTCACCACTCCCTTCATCATCACTTCCCTTCTTCACCGCTTCCCTTCGTCACCACTTCCCTTCTTCACCACTTCCCTTCCTCACCACTTCCCTTCGTCACCACTCCCCTTCATCATCACTTCCTCAAGGTCAATTTCATAGCTTCTTATTCTTTTGTTATGTATTGGTACATTATGTATTGTTATATTATGTATTGTTATATGATCTACCCCCCTTCCTCAAGGTCAATTTCATTGCTTCTTATTGGTTTGTGATGTATTGGTACATTATGTATTGTTACAGGATCTACCACCCTTCATCATAGTCAATTGCACCAAGTAAAAAGTCATTCGTAACTCGGAAATTGCTTCCCAACTTCCTTTGATAATATATAATTTGTATATTATATATATTATATATATATATATATCTATCTATATCTAATAAATATTATATCAAAGATAATGGATCATCCCCCACCCCAAAGCGGAAAATTCAAACTGCACGGCCTTGTCAGGAGATCGAGAACGTGGACCCGATGCTCGACCAGATCCTGCGCACCATCTCCAACTTGAATGATTTGATCCCCAAGCTCCAGAAGGTTGGAACATCGGATGCCAATAAGTATCTTGTTGCAATTTCCTGGGCTATTTGGAATTATGCGACTTCCTTTTTTTGACTTATAGGATCTTCTGGCAACTCTGGGCACAATTTTCAACCAATAATCAGCTGAGGTCAGCCCAAGATGTGCAACCCCGAACGCAGACCCTGATGGGAGTGCATGATGAGATTGCGGAGCTCAAGGCCCATTATGATGCCCATAAGACCTTACAGTTCCATGGCAAAATTCCCTTCCACCACCCAACCACACACATTCACGAATTTGAATAGGTTTCCATTTTGTTTGAAGTGGCAATCAATGCTCTTCTTCCAAGGCCAGACCAAACAAAGAAGCTCCAGGAGTGTTTCAAGAAGGTCGAAGCCGAGTTAATCCCTCAGAAAAACTATATAGCATTCTGACACGCCGCTCACGCCACCAATCCCAACCTTGGACAACTGCAGTAGAGTTGTCTTGATCGTCCCACGGCCTCAGGTGTTCGAAAGCTGTGATGGAACAGAACAAGCTGAAGAAGCTATCTTCTCAGAACCGTGTGGCATGAGAATTTTGCAACTCCATACCCTTTCGGTTGTATACCCGCACTCACTGATTTTTTTCCCCACCTGCCAGGTGAGGGTTGCTAGATTTTAACAGAGCTCTTCTCCTCCTCCTCCTCCGCCTCCTCACCCGCCGCCTCCTCCTCGCAGTCCAGATCCCAGTGGGCACAGCCGGACCTCCACCGCGAGCTCCAGATCCCAGTGGGCACTGCCGGACCTCAACCGCGAGTTGCAGATCGCAGTGGGCACTGCCGGACCTCAACCGCGACTTCCAGGTCGCAGTGGGCACTGCCGGACCTCAACCGCGAGCTCCAGATCCCAGTGGGCACTGCCGGACCTCAACCGCGAGCTCCAGATCCCAGTGGGCACTGCCGGACCTCAACGGCCAGATAGAATGCCAGAAGATATGCCAGATAGAATGCCAGAAGATATGTCAGAATATATGCCAGAAAGATATGCCAGATAGAATGCCAGATAGAATGCCAGAAGATATTTCAGATAGAATGCCAGAAGATATGCCAGATAGAATGCCAGAAGATTTGCCAGATAGAATGCCAGAAGATAGAATGCCAGAAGATATGCTAGATAGAATGCCAAATAGAATGTCAGAAGATATGTCAGATAGAATGCCAGAAGATTTGCCAGTAAAAAGATAGAATGCCAGAAGATATGCCAGATAGAATGCCAGAACATATGCCAGTAAGAAAATGTATAAATGTCATGGTGGGGATCACACGAAGTAAAGTAATTTCTTTCAACATCTCTATTATATCACATGCGCAAATTCTCATCAGGACGATCTTGAAGCCAGACAAGAAGGTGAACACTGGCAAGAAGCCGGACAAGTCCAAGCCCAACCCCAAGCCCAAAGGGTCTGGGAAAACCGGTGAGGAGGGCTCGGGTGAGGGTGATGATTCTGAGAATGAGTATTCGCCCCCGCCCCCGAAAGTAGCTCCCAAAAAGCCAAAGGCCAAGGCAAAGTCTGGAGCTGGTGGCAAGAAGAAGTGATCCCAACCATCTTTTTGTTTCAAATTTCGAGAAAAACAAAAGGCACGTGTTTTATTGAGATCCTGCTTGAAGGGGCCTTGCTACCAAATTTTCATGGTTCATATACTTTGTTTGCTGCACGAAGGCTGCGGCTGTGGAATCTGGGGTGTGATCTGTAAGATCAAAGGGTTCAAACTTGATGTGTCCCATGTCCCCATGCAAGTGCTTAGATCTTGCGATTGCGTGGGCCGGTGGAAAAGTTCCAATTGTGTATTGGACGGTTCTTTCAAACCTCACCGTATCCTCAGATCTGAGAGCCCCTGCTCAGCCAGTCTCCAATAGACCCCTCGCAGGTCGCCGGGCTGCATCAAAGAAACCTGCGAAGACAGGTCCAGCGGCAAGGGCACTGGCAAATGCTGCCGCCAATGGGGTGGGGGTTTGCCAAATCATGGCATGGTCACCAAAGATCCAATTGTTTTACCCCACAATATCATATAATATATACGTACATATATATGTTATGATATGTTATCTATAAAAATCGTTCTTGTTTAAAACCCAAGTCAAGTTGTTCAAGACAACTTCTGGGGCCATTCCCTGACAGGTTCCTGAAAGATGGGTCTGTGCTATTGCCAAGGGCTTCTGGGATGAGTGCGAGGATTTTGATGGTGGTGAAATACCCTTGCAAAGTTCTGGACTACTGCAATCTCTTAGCCAGGCATCGAAAACAAAACACGAGTTTCGGAGCAGGGCGGTCTATGAGCAACATGGGTTAAAAGTCCAGATGCCAATCACGCCTCTCAAAGTGGGCATGGACAAACCATTACCATTTCTGAAACCTTCCGATGTGGTACAAGTCATGGCCAAACACGGCAAGATCAAAAACTGTTTGTTGGGTGGTGGGTCGTTCGACGAGTTACCTGCTTTTTGGGAGCGGTATCAACGATTATACCCACAACATCCAGTGTTCACAGATCGAAAAGATCTGGCAAAATGTTTGCCAATATGTCTTCATGCTGACGAAGGGCGCTGTGTGAAAAAGGAACAAATATTAGTGATTAATTGGCAAAGCTTGCTGGGAAGAGGGACCAGGCTTTCCCACAAAGATTTTCTTTCATCTGACACACAGGGATTGAACTACATGGGAAAGACCTACAGCACTCGTTTTTTGGTTGCGACGATGTGCAGCCTACACTACCGGAAGAAGCAGAAACATGGCCACCGCCTTACAAAGCTTTTAGATGCCCTCACCGATGACCTGCTGCATTGGTACAACAATGGGATTCCTGTATCCATAGAAGGCAAGGAAACACTTCAACTTTATGCAGTCCCGCTTGGATTTAAAGGTGATTGGCCAATGTTAGCAAAAATGGGCAACCTTCAGCACCACTTCGGCAGGAAGGGCAAGCCTACTGCCGATTCCGCCATTTGCCATTTGTGCCGCGCTGGGGCCACTGACATACCCTACGAAGAGTATGATGTTAATGCTGCATGGTATGATTCTTACCTTCAAACGAGGCCATGGTGTCGCCCACCTCCATTTTCAAGATTGCCATTACTTCCCGAAGAGGAGCTATTCTTTCAGTTCGATGTATTTCATGTGATGCACAAGGGCATTGTTGCTGAATTTGTGGGCTCAGCCATCGCTTCTAGATTTCCAATTTATGTATATATATATATATATATGTGTGTGTGTTGATATTCTATATATATATATACATACATATATGTTTTATTTGGTTGATGTGTGTGTGCCCTAAATATGATGTGTGCCAGTTGATTTCCCGTAAGACTGCTACACCTGTATATATGTGTCCCTCTTGAGCCACAGGTCACCTTGTTGGACAAGGGCTGCGTTGGCGACGGTGATGTGCTGACCCGCTTGGAGAGGATATATGATGAACTTTCCTGTTTCTGTAAAAGAGAGGGGCTTCCCCTACACATGACAGGGCTCACGCGCCACCTTCTGAGTTTTTCCAAAGATGCTGACTACCCATGTGGGAATCTTTGCAGTGATTGTTTTCAGGCTTTCTGGTGTTATATGTTTTACCTGGCCTCTCCTCCAAACTAAACTGCTATGAGAAAGCAATCTTTCATTCCTATGCACTGCCGTCTTAGGACATGGTTCAAAGGAGCTGACACCTACTCGGTGGCGAAGTGGGTGGAGCACAAGTTCAGGGATCTGGATGCCCCTTCTTGGGATGAATACCGCCAAAGCATTTATGAGACCGCGAAACATGCAAATGATTTTCTGGGCAAACTGTATCGGAATGGTTTGTGGCTACAACCTTTCGTTGTTGGACCAGTTATCCGGAGTGGGATGGGCTTCCTACAAGAGTACCGGGTCTGTGCTCAATTTGCTTTTGAGGACAACAAATGTCGCTACAAAATCCCTCCAAAATACCATGCCTTCTGTCACATCACCCACACTTTGATTGAGCAGCTGGGTAGGGTGGGGTCGCGTGAGCTAGAGTCAAACTTGCCTTGCGTGATTTCACCGCTGGCATGGGGCTGTCAGTTGGACGAAGACTTTGTTGGGCAGATAAGTGCCCTTTCCAGAACCAGCAATTTGAATGGTGCCCATGAGAGGGTCATGAACCTTTACCTCTTGAACCTTCCTAAGTATTGGTGATCGCTTCGCGGTAAAAAGGTGGAAGCTGGGATTTCCTGAGGTGGAGCATTCAGAAGTTCAGAAGTCCTTATTCCCTGATTTTTTTTTCTCCAGCAACCATTAAATTATACAATCATTCCCTGATTGATGTTTTCAGTGGTGCCACAGAGGCACAAAAATTGCCACTATTTCACCAGTGGCAGAAATTTCTGCAACTTTGGCCAGTTGCCTGTTTTTTTTGTCACTAGGTTTCCTAGGTTCTGTGATGCCACCCAAAGAAACCGTTCACAACTGAGAAACGAAATCCTCACCAAACCAAACACCTTCCCCCCCAGACTCGCCTCCGGGGAAATATGCTCCACGAGGGCGTTGCGTAGCTCAGCCAGTGGCACCATCGCACCGCCAGGTCCCCGTGTGGACAATGCCACAGCTGCTGCCATTTTGCGCTGCTCGGTCTGGTTCATGCTCTCCACCTTCTTTCGCAACCATGCAATTCCTTTGCTGCTGGCATCCATACGAAGCTCTTCCACCTTCGACGAAATACCGCCGCCCACATCTCCACGATCCTGCCGCCGCATAGGCTGCGAACCCGTGGTGCACGCGGGCACTTCAAGTAACATGTGGTTTCACAAGATCCGCTTCTACATGCTCATGAAACGCACTTTGACAACTGACACAACACTCATCAATAACCAAGTATCTGCACAAAAATCTATACTTATATCTCTACACTACAACCCTCCGTGCTAAGACCAGAAGAAACGTTAACAACTCAAGCAAACTTGTCAGAGAACCACAGTGCAGAGAACTGTCAGAGCATCCCCCAAAAACACCTATCCGCACAACTGCTCCCACTGAATCCACACTAACACCTTCTGTGATGCCACCCAAAGAAACCGTTAACAACTGAAACGAAGTCCTCACCAAACCAAACATCTTCCCCCCAAAGACTCGCCTGCGGGGCAAAATGCTCCACGACGGCATTGCGCAGCTCAGCCAGTGCCACCTTTGAACCATCTTGTCCACGTGTAGACACACCAGAAGCTGCTGCAACCTTATGCAAGTCATCCCTTTTCATACTCTCCACCTTCTCTCGCAGCCACGCCAATCCTTTGCTACTGGCATCCATACGAAGCTCTTCCACCTTCGACGAAATACCGCCGCCCACATCTCCACGATCCTGCCGCCGCATAGGCTGCGAACCCGTGGTGCACGCGGGCACTTCAAGTAACATGTGGTTTCACAAGATCCGCTTCTACATGCTCATGAAACGCACTTTGACAACTGACACAACACTCATCAATAACCAAGTATCTGCACAAAAATCTATACTTATATCTCTACACTACAACCCTCCGTGCTAAGACCAGAAGAAACGTTAACAACTCAAGCAAACTTGTCAGAGAACCACAGTGCAGAGAACTGTCAGAGCATCCCCCAAAAACACCTATCCGCACAACTGCTCCCACTGAATCCACACTAACACCTTCTGTGATGCCACCCAAAGAAACCGTTAACAACTGAAACGAAGTCCTCACCAAACCAAACATCTTCCCCCCAAAGACTCGCCTGCGGGGCAAAATGCTCCACGACGGCATTGCGCAGCTCAGCCAGTGCCACCTTTGAACCATCTTGTCCACGTGTAGACACACCAGAAGCTGCTGCAACCTTATGCAAGTCATCCCTTTTCATACTCTCCACCTTCTCTCGCAGCCACGCCAATCCTTTGCTACTGGCATCCATACGAAGCTCTTCCACCTTCGACGAAATACCGCCGCCCACATCTCCACGATCCTGCCGCCGCATAGGCTGCGAACCCGTGGTGCACGCGGGCACTTCAAGTAACATGTGGTTTCACAAGATCCGCTTCTACATGCGCATGAAACGCACTTTGACAACTGACACAACACTCATCAATAACCAAGTATCTGCACAAAAATCTATAATTATATCTCTACACTACAACACTCCGTGCTAAGACCAGAAGAAACTCGCCTGCGGGGCAAAATGCTCCACGAGGGCATTGCGTAGCGCAGCCAGTGCCACCTTGGAACCACCTTGTCCACGTGTAGACACGCCAGAAGCTGCTGCAACCTTCTGCAAGTCATCCCGTTTCATACTCTCCACCTTCTCTTGCAGCCACGCCAGTCCTTTGCTGCTGGCGTCCATACGAAGCTCGTCCACCTTCGACGAAATACCGCCGCCCACATCTCCACGATCCTGCCG